CCACTCCCACCTATCTTGCCACCATCTTAACTCTATTCCCAGATTTTGTTATTCTATTACAGTTGTCCCAATTTTTCTTTTGCCCTCCTCTGCCTAGCCCACCACCTGCTCCCAGTCAACCCCCACACTGTTGTCAATGTCCCTGTGTCATTCATACACGTTCTTTGATTTTTCCTAGTATTCTTTAAAACATTTTACTTATTTGTAGAGAGAAGGGAAAGGAGGGAGAGGAGAGAAACATCAACTTATGATTGCCTCTCACACACCCCCCGCCCTGGGGATCTGGGCCACAACCCTAGCATGTACCCTAGACTTGGAATTGAACCAGCAACCCTTTGGTTCATAGGCCGGCACACCATCCACCAAGCCACACCAGCCAGGGCATGATTATTCCTATCTTTTTTTACTTATAGCCAATTTTTTTGAAATGTCCCAAAGAACTGGTCTAGTTTTAATTCCATTTCAACATCTTAAATCTATTGATATAAATAAAAACTGTCAAATTGTTTGAGTAAACGAGACGATGTATAGTCCTGCATTTAGAACTAGAGACAAATTCAAATTAAACCTCTATTCAGGGTAATCTTGACCCTGTTACTGAATCACTCTGAGCCTGTTATTAAACGGGACTACAAATTACTCAGAGGTTTGTTGTGAGGGTTCAGTGACATGAACATAGTCTATACTTAGGCCTTATACTTGTAGGTACTCAAAAAACATCTTTTCCCTTCCTTCCCCTTAATAATAAGATAGGAGTTATATTCTCTAACCAGATCCAATTGTCCATGAACTTTAGAATATTTGAAATCATCTTTTGAAAATAAAAAACAGTGATAGAAAAACTGCTTCATCTTGGGACTTAGGTGGTGGTGATCTTTCAGGAAGGACACAAGGAACCCTACTTACCACCAAATCTACCCAAGGAAAGATGGTCTCCAGTAAGTGAATTCTTCATCCCTACTTGCAGGGGCTACTCAAGTTTGTCATACACTTCCTGTTATTTCACTGGTTCTGACACCATTTAAAAATACTAGTTTTTCATTAAGAAAGCAAGCTAAAAACTCATAATGAACTGACAGCTGTCAGAAGGGAGTGGTGATGTATGCCTGGGTGAAAATGGTGAAGAGATTAATAAAACAAAACTCATAGACACACACACACAATAAAAAACAAGCAAGGCATAAACCTCTAAAGGCTGAATGAGTATCAGGCTTTTTGAAAACATTCCCAAGCCTTTAACTAAATACTAATGGAGAAAAAAACCACCTAAAAATTTCATGAAAAGGCACTTTATGAAATGAAAGCAACATAACTATGAACAGTTTAACTTATTTGTTCCTACACTAATTTAAGCAAATGCTTTGAGGCCTATTCATTCACCAGCAATTTATATAATGAAAATATTTAATACTAGCTTAAACTAAATGTGAGAGGATGAGAACAGAAAACATAAACTATTTTTTATCCACAGTATTACTACAATAAAAATCCACTAATTTCAGTACAAATTCAGAAATTTTATTTAATCATTAAGGAAGCTTAAATGCCCTACCATATAACTTAGGTTAATGAACAGTATCTTTTTAAAAAATTAACACAAACTATCTTAAGACATTAATCAAACTTTTGATGTGTCAATTTATTGCATATGTCAGTACAGAAAGTATAGTTTAAAAGAAACTTATTGTAAAAAAGCAAATGTAAATGTTTGCTTGCCACAGTTAACACATAACATTCACACTTGAGCTGTAACACTTTATTACTGCTTCAAATAAAATATGGCAACAAAAGTATGATTTACATTGTGAAACTGGATTAACTTATTTTATCCTGAACGTACCTCAATAGGTTGAAAACAATTTGAATTTTAAGTATATGCTGTACTGACATAAACTGTTATAAATTAAGAAACAATACTTATCCCTGTTACATATGTATATGTGGCACTTTTTGTAAAAGTGTCTTATAGTTTTATTTTTAAACTACATTTTTAAGATACAAAATATAAATGGAGGTATATTTGTACCATTTGGCAAAAATGTGTTGGCTATTAGGATTAATGCATTTATTTCAACATATAAATGCATATATCATTTCTGATTAGATGATGTGCATATACAGTAGTATAAACGAGAGTGCTATTCATTTTCTACCCTATTATTTAAAGAATATGTCTGTGCTGTCATTTCCAACTTTACCTGAGTGATATGAAAATACATATATTGAAGTGGATAAACAAAAGCATATGACTAATTTTTTGTCACAGTTTTTCTCTTTAATTGTTCTTAAACATAATAGGAATAAGAGAGGGGAGAGGACAATGAAGGATATCAGTATATCTTAACCATGTCCTAATTTAAAAAATGACTTGAAACATTTTTTTAAAATTTATCTCTTTACTCCTAACCTTAAGGAAATAAGGGACTCAATAAAAACATTTATACTGAACTTGCAAGGTAAGTTATAGAAAGTTGAATATGGCCTTCAATCTTTAATCCTACCTACCGAATAAATCTACTCCTACCTCAAACCAAATCTTTCAAACTTAAGAAATGTATGAAAGCCTCAGGTGGTAGGAATTCTCAGTGAGAAATATTACAACGTAATTAACCCAGGGACATATTACCACATTATCAAAGTTGGAACTTAGGTAGTTATTAAGTGTCTAGAGTTCATAATAAAAAAATAAATTTAAGCTGCCCTGTAAGAAAATTAAGAATTTTAATGAAAATACCAATCTTATGAAGTACTTGCATAAACACAGGGTAGATGCAGTAGCAGATGCTCCAGTCGCTTTATTAGAAATGTCTTGTGTTTAGATGTTGTTTTGCACTGTTATGTTTCTTTTTCACTGATATCAGTTAATTATTTCCTAGATCTATATTTAGGAAATGCATCATCTTTTCATTTCTAGTTATTTCCATTCTACTAGTATTCTTTTATCTGTTATAAATTTTGCAATATCCTCTTCAGGATGCTTTTTGCAATTTCCCCTCAATATCCCTTCTAAAATAATGGATTTTGACCTAAATAGTATCTTGCCACATTTAAAACCATTCTAGTATTTCCAAATTTACAGTAGCTTAATAACTTAAAATTCATTCAGAAACACCTATAGCTGCTCCTGCGTAAGTGAACAGAAATTAACACATAGGATAAACACACTTCTATTTCTACTAAACTATGAGTACAAAATGAAGTAACTCATTGAGAATTCGTATTTTAACACCAAATGCTTTGGCCAAAACTTAGACACGCTTTGAAAAAATGATGCCATGGGCTTCAGAGACCCTGATAGTAAGAATCTGTTTTCTATTCCTTCCCATCTAAGGAAATATTCTCAAATACAGAAATTAAGAAAGATGTACTACAACCCTAGAAACAGCCTCAGAAAGGCTCTCTGACCCAAAGAAGAGAATAAAGAAGGTAGGGATGGGGCACAAGTACTTTATGGATGTTGAGGTCCTGGTGTAAAAAAACTGTTTATAAACCTGGAGTATTTTTTAAAAGCTGCATAAAAAAAAAAAACACTGATAAAGAAAAAGCTTTTACACTTCATCAGCATACTTGCAACTATTTGATAAATTGCTCCACAGTATAATAGACTAAATGATAACATGAAAATATAGGAAGGTACTCTATAATCTTTAAAGAATGATACAAGTGTAAGGTATACCATGTAAAGTTCATGTCTAACACTACATTTTGTTGTATTAACATTTTTCCCTTTTATTACTATTTAGGACAGTCATTCTACATAGCAATGATTGACAAGATGAAAAGTAGCTTTCTAATTGTGGTGAAAGTATACATAAAAATACACCTTCCATGATGCGCATTACCAACTGTTTTTTAAATCATGACTTTTTTAAACAATAATTTATAGAAAAAACATTATTCTTTAGAAATTATATTTACTGTAACTTATTGCTTCCTAAATACTGACATAAAGTAAATGAGAAGAATGTTATTTGGCAAAAGTATTTCTAGTCCCATCTCCATAGAGTTTTAAATTAAGGTCAGAATTACTGACCCATTATCTCTCTGTTCTAGTTGCTTGCACAAAGCCAATAAACACAGTCAAAATATTATGCAGATATAACAATGTGTAGAGCTCAATTATGTATAATTTTGAGCACTGCCAGACACAACTTAGCACAATTATGCCCCATAACTTACACATATATATCTTTAGGCAAATCCTGCCATTTTAAGGATTTCTTAAAGTAAGATTTTTCTTACTTTTCTATATGTATGAATACTACTATTAGTAGCCATTTAATCGTTAAATATTAACAGGTTCTGTGATAAAAAGCTCTAGGGTTCCTTTATCCCCACATTTGTACATGTAGACTTCTTAAAATTGTCCTTTGTTGCAGTTCTATTTTATAACCACGACATTAAACCAAAGAATATAGTTTTTTTTGCTTTTGTCTTTGCAACTCTTATTTTCAGAAAGTTCAATAAATGGTATCTTGGCTTTAGTGGATTAGTTATACCTAAATACTGGGAATTAAAAATTAAATGTGGGGTTTTCTATAAAACAGTATGTACAATTATGTAATAAGGCTCCCTAATTTCATTTTTAAACAAGTTATCATCTTCACTGTGACTGCCATTAATGGTTTACCTGTAGACTTATGAAACTAATAGAAGCTAAATTTCTTTCTGCTACCAAAATTATAAATGTTAAAAAGTTCAACTATGCACATCGAAGCTGCAGTAAAACTCTAAATTTCTATTTTTACATGCTATGATCCAGATTGTACCTAACAAAACACAGTACATTTATATTGGAAAGTGGGGTCCCATTTATTTGTAAGAAAAAGCCAGATCTTAGCATTTGTCAGAACAAAATTCAATAGCAACCTGCACACAGGCCTCCATTCCACTTCTTGCCCAAACCAAAATAATTTACATAAAAATAGATATAACCCAGGTTACCATATACATCAGTATATGCCCAGTGCTATTTACATTAAAAACATTGCATTGCATAATTCAAGAAATAAAATATCATGCATTTTATTTTAAGGTGAAAAATGCAGTTACAGAACTAAGTTTGCGTACCATGATTGTCCCAGTATTTACTAAAGGAATAAGATCCAAAGGTTTCTCGTTTACATCTTGCCTTCTACCCCCAGCCATTAATCTTAAGTATCACACAAAATATATCACTTTAGCAACAAGAAACTTCTGAATATATTATACTGGCATATTAAACTAAAGATATGGACACATAACCACACTGAAAGGTTTGATGAAAATGTATGAAATAATCCCAACAATTACAGTTTTCAAATGTAAAAAACTACTTGGATCATCTTAACAGAGTACTGAAGTCCTTTCAAAGTTTAATGTCACTCTTCAGACAAGTACAGACATAACACACTTCTAAAAAGAAATATTTTTATCATTCTGCACAAATCAAAATAGAGTACATTAATCAAAAAGAAAAACATTATATAATTGTCACATTAGATGAAGTTTTTGCCATTTCTTCAGGAGAATGACTCTTTATTACTTCTTTGATGAACTGTTCAAGGCTAGTGAAGTAACCCTGGCATTGCCATGTATCATTATGAGTTCCATCAGGAAAAATGGCTAACCTCTTAGTCCGAGATGGGGAGAGTTCATAAAGTTGCTTCATCATTACGGGTGGAATTAATTGATCAGAGAGTCCAGAGATGAAAAGAGAAGGCATTCTGCACTGAGATATTTTTCTGTAGGACAAAAATTTATTTTTGTAGCACCATAAAGGAAGGTAACGCATTGGAAAGAACGAAAATAAAGTGCTGGCCATATGTGGTATACTTAAAAATGTGTTCTCCACCATAATAGCTGAAATCCTATGTGAATTTTCAGAAGCCAAATGAATAGCCACCGCTCCTCCCAAGGAACGACCAAAAAGAAAAATTTTTGTTTTGTCAAGGTCAGGTCTAGTCATCACATAGTCTAGCACAGCTTCAGAGTCTAAGTAGAGTCCTTCTTCACTTGCTTCTCCTTCGCTTTTTCCATATCCTCGGTAATCAACAAGTAAAAGATTAACTTTGAGGTTAACTAACATAAGCAATGCATTTGGTAACCTGTGACCTATGTTGCCTGCATTCCCATGAAAATAAATTATGGTTGGAGAATAGGGTGAATTGTCTCCAGTGTATCTTATCAAAATAAGATTTAGACGTACTCCATCTTTGGTTCTGATGAAAACGTTTTCATGTGGAATACCAGTTGGCATGGGGACATAAAGGCGTGAGGAAGATGGCTGTTCTGGAAAATAAAGCAATACATCCTGGAATTTATACAGAATACCTGCTATTGATATGAATATTAACAAAAGTAAGATAATGCCTCCATACAGATGAAAAGTCACTATTAAAGGTAAAAGAGAAATACGACAGAGAGCCCAAGACCACGAGGCCAAGGCTATTAGCCATCTTTCAACAAAGTTCCACAGCATCCAGGACTTTTCCATTGTAGTTCTCTGTAAGTGTCCTAAAGAGAAAGAGAGAGACATTATCAGTAATTCAACATGTATCTCTTCAAGTTAAATCCATGATATACATCATGGCACTAGATGAATCCTTGGAAGCCTACACCAATCCATCCACAAAACTGGTTGCTCTAATTTCCCTTGTCCCTTCTGTTATAAAGTCTTCCTCCAGTTTCTATGATAGTCATCAAATTATATTTATTTTTTAATGTTCTTATTTACTGCCAAGTACTTCATTCATGCAGTCTTGATTTAATAGAAAAGTTGATGCTGCTGGATCACATGGTAGTCCTGTTTTTAACCTTTTGAGGGAAACTCCATACAGTTTTTCATAGTGACTGCACCAATTTACATTCCCACCAACAGTAAACAATGGTTCCCTTCCTCCACATCCTTGCCAACACTTGTTGTCTTTTTGATACTAGATGTTTTAACAGGTGCAAAGTGGTATCTCATTGTTTTGATTTACATTTTCTTGATGATTAATGATGTTCAGCACGTTTTTATGTACCTATTGGACTCTTTACGTCTTCTTTGGAAAAAATTTCTATTTGGAACTTCTGCCCTTTTTAATATTTTTTAAGTTGTCAAGTTGTGTTTTATATTTTGGATTAAACGCCTTACCAGATATACAATTTGCAAATATTTTCTCTTATTAGAAGGTTGCCTTTTCATCTTGATGATGGTTTCCTTCACTGTTCAGAAGCTTTTTAACTTGGTGTAGTTCCACTTGTTCATTTTTGCTTTTGCTGCCTTTGCTTTTAGTGTCAGATCCAAAAAAATCATCACCAAGAGTTTATTAAGGAACTTACCGCTAATGTTTTTTCTCTAGGAATTCTGTAGTTTCGGGTCTCACATTAAAGTCTTCAATCTATTTTCAGCTAATTTTTAGCATGGTAACATAGTGATCCAGTTTTCCTATCACCATTTATTGAGGAGGCTGTCCTTTCCCATTATATTTTTGGCTTTTTTGTTGTTTTAAATTAATTGACCACCTATGTTTAGGTTTATTTCTGGGCTCCTATTCTGCTCCACTGATTTATGTGTCTATTTTTATGCCAATGCAATACTGTTTTGATTTCTACAGTCTTGTAATGTAGTTTTCCTTTCTCAAGATTTGTTTGGCTCTTCGGGGTCTTTTTTGGTTCCAAAGAAATTTTAGGATTATTCTATTTTTGTGGAAAAAATGCCACGGAATTTTAACAGGGATTGCATTAAACCTGTAGATTGCTTTGGGTAGCATGAACATTTTAAGAATATTAATTCTTCCAAACCATGAGCATGGAATAGCTCTCCATTTTTCTGTGTCTTCTTCAATTTCTTTCACTAATGCCTTACAATTTTCAGTGTACTACTCCTCCAACTCCTTGGGTAAATTTATTCCTAGGTATTATTCCTTTTGATGGAATTGTAAATGAGACTGTTTTCTTAATTACTTGCTGATAGTTTGCTATTAGTGTATTGAAATACAACAGATTTTTGAATTCTACAGCTTTACTGAGATTGGTAGGTTGAGGGCAATTTTGATTAAAAAGGTAGTTAAAAGATTCTAACTTATTAAGACCAATCTGATATAATATCATCAATTTCCTTTTTCACATTATAGAAAAAAATCTAATTAAACAAACTAGGATAAGAAAGAATATTTTCCTCTCTACTTGGAGCTTTCACACCTAAGCTTAAAAAATAATTTATATAAATTGACCACTATTTTCTAATATTGTACTATTTTTAAGAAAAAGTTTAATGATTTTGTCTCACATCTGATTAAAAAAATTTGGATTGCTAATATAATATGTGAAATCTTTTATACAGTCCTTATTGCAGCTTCATAGCAGTAAGTCAACACTGATTGATATGTTGTACTGATGAGGCCATAAATACTTGAAGGATAAGTGTAAAAGAAACAGAAATTCTAATTGAGAACCAGAGATAGTGAAGAAAATTATTGGGGAAATTTTTAAAAAATATTGTTGAAAAATATAAATGATAAAAATAAAATATAGAAAAAACTATCAAAAAATTTAATCAATTTAAAATGTTTATATGTATGTTGTCTTAAAAAGGCAAGAGATGAGATATAATTTTTATTACAGAGTAGTCATCTACTTATATATTTACCAAGTTTTAAAAGACATTAAATTAGGTCCTGGCCAGGTAGCTTAGTTGGTTAGAGCATTGTCCCGATACACCAAGACTGTGGTTTGATTCCTGGTCAGGCCACATACAAGAAGCAACAATGAATGTACAAATTACTGAAACAACAAATCAACATTTTCTCTCTCTACAAGCAATAAATAAAATTAAAAAAATTTTAACTTCCATTAAAATAAATGTTAAATTAAGAAGTTATTCTTTGGATAATTGTTAATGACTAATTTATAAAACTGTACTGTATGCCATTAGCTAATAAATATGGCATTTTAGTTCATCATTAGATTTAAACATTGAAATAAAACAAAATGGAGTTAAATTAAACTGGCTAGAAAGACTAATTCGATGATTAAATAGATTCAAATTTTCACTATTACTTCATTAAGCATAGATTTTCACACATGACTTTTTGTTCAAAAGACTGTGAACATAAACCAACATCATAGCGCTTTTCCAAAGTTTCTCTGAAATCAGCACTGCCACCCAGCTGCAGCAAGTTTTATTACAATGAGCACTATACAACATTAGAGAAAAGCAGGTATGTCAGGTAAACAAAACTTAAAAACTACGGAAGCAATAGCTGGGGCACTAGGTGTCAGACTTGGTTAAAAATCAGACTGGAAGAGGCTGCACTACAGCAGCAGCCAAGTAAACCAATTACAGTAAATACTAAGTATTTGTGCCAGGTCAAGAATAAAGGCCTTTCACAATCTATGATTGCTTTTTCTCGACAACACATCTGGTCACTTACACTTTTCATTTTGTGTTTACTTAATTTTATTATTATTTTTAAGTATAAGCAATATCTGAGTGATTTTCATGTGTACACAAGTTACACTGGGAAATATGAAAACACACTGGCATAAACTTTATACATCAAAATAAAAGAATTTTGTGTAATGATTAGTATTAACAAGGTTTGGAATATAAAATACAAGTACACTAGAGCACTGTGCTATTTCAAGAATAAGGTATTTCTTTAGTGAAAAATTTTACCATTTTCACAGTCAAGCCAATCATTTGCGAGTGGTATCAGAGAGGTGATTAACTCAAACATCATTTATTTGGTGATAAATAGGGGAAAAAGCCACTAAAATTCTATCAGTCTTAAAGTCTGCGCTATCATATATGTGCAGAATAATCTTGAGTTTATCACTTATTTCCAGTCTGAATTTTTTTCTCTGTAGAATGAGAACTTAAAAATACCTAATATAAGGCCAATCAGCATTATCAAATGAAGTTCTAAAAAGCATTTATAAATACTACAATATGTTAACTTTATTTGCTTTTGTGACTAGTATTTCTGGTTGTACTACTCATTTCTTAACTATGTTCTGCCCAAATTAAAATCAACATCAGCATTTACCACACCATTCTAAGAAAAGAAAATAATCTAGAAAGTTGAATGCGGAGTGCATGGTAAAGCACTTTTACAACCCAGATAATCAGGAGTGAAGTGACTCAGTTTTCAAATTAAACAAAGTTACTATTAAAAAAAAACTATTGCAACTCTAGATAAAATAGAAAACCCCGATACCTGCACAAAATATATCTTAACATTCAAACCATACACACACATACCTGCATATATTAAATCTATATAGTTAAATTTTTCAATTATTCAAACTTTGAAAAATAATTTAAGTAGCTTTGTTAATTTCTAATTTAAATGTACAATATTGAATTCAAAGCTATTTAGACCAGGAACTGTGTTTCTCTTTCTCACTACTGTATTTCCTACTGGATAGTAATATTTTTGACATATTCAATACTAAAATGTTTTTTATTTTTTTTATTTTTATTTATTTTTTTTAAGATTTTTATTTATTTATCTTTAGAGGGGAAGGGAAGGAGAGAGGGAGAGAAACATCAATGTATGGTTGCCTTTCATGCATCCCCTGCTGGGAACTGGCCTGCAGGGAACCAGCCTGCAACCCAGGTATGTGCCCTGACTGGGAATCGAACCGCGATTGTCTGGTTCGCAGCTAAAATGTTTTTTAAATAAACAATTCAGTGATACACTTGAATTATTATACTTCTAAGAGAACACAACTGTATTCTGAGCACTGGGCACATATGTTTAAGAGTAGACATCAGAAAAATAGCAAATATGAGTCCATTATTGGTTAGGAAAAATAGTTATTCAACTTGATGTTTTCCACAAAGTATTTCTGAGAAGACATCTTAACTGACTTTGCGATAAACAACGGTAATCTTACAATGAATTGTTAAACTGTGAAAGTCAGAATGAAAGCCAATTCACTTTGAAGAACACCAAATTTAAATTGAATTATAAGGACACTGCTCTGGAGTGTTTGTGTGTCTTCTCTTTAATACATTATGGCATACTCGTAGTCCAGAAAGAGACCTCCACTCACAGACTGCCTTATTTTTTCATAACCCAATTTGTCTATAATTTCTGCTATCTACTCTTTATCTTATCTATGCTCTTAAGAGAAATAGAACACATGCGCTCAGTGGTTGAGTGCTGGCCTGTGAATCAAATGGTCCCTGGTTAATTTCTAGTCTAGGCTGGGTTTCGGGCCAGGTCCCTAGTACGGGGTGTGCAAGAGGCAACCATTCACTGATGTTTCTCTCCCTCCCCCTCTCTAAAAAATAAAATAAGATCTTTTTTAAAAAAGAGCGAGAGAAATAGAACAAGCAAACTTAACATAGGAAGAATTTTTATTTACTAAATTTGCTGAAACTATAAACAAAGTGCAAATACCAAAGCCATGTGCTGAGATGTAAATACAACTTTACGTAGACCCAGATATTATGATAGTCAATGTAAATGAACAGTGACTCTGATACAGTCCACTGAAGATTCTACAGCTAGCAGGACGCA